GACACCGTTTTGTACCCGCGGTATCGAATTAAATGCCGAGACTAATTAATGCGGCATTTAATTTAATCCAAATTAATTTTAGGTGTAAACAATGCCCCACGACTTAGTTTATAAGAAGTAGTTCTTATGAACTAAATCGTTGACATAAAATAAATCACCTAAAATATTAAACAATTTATAACTCAACCATTCATCCCACGAGACAACACTTAGCCACGCAAACTTGCGGCTAAACTTGCCAAGGCTGTCGAGTTGCTTGTAACCATTATTGCCCCCCAAGCAACTAATATGGCGGAAATCACACCCTCCACAGTCCACATCCTTTTATTATTATTTATTTAGTAATTTTTCATAAAGATTGGCCAATGCTCCATACTTAGTAGGCAAGAGCAAGTAAGCAATGCTGCTTTGGCCCATATATTTAACCGACTATTGCCCGCAATGTTGCGGCAAAATGCCAATCTGGTAGCCCATACAGGGCTTAGATAAAGATAAAACCGGATCTTTTTCCCCCCTCATTCGCAACGCTGCAACGAGCTCCTGCAGTGTTGTTTGACAAACCATCGCCTTTTTTTATATATATTATATTTACCTGCAATGTTGCGGCAAGCTCCACAACAACGCTGCTTCCCTTCAATTTCTTTTTTTTTTATTGCGCAATCTCGCAAACAAGTATTTTGGACAAATAGAATTCTACTCCAACACCGTTGCCAAGACCCCTTGCAATGCTGTAGATTTTTTTTTTTTATCCGTAGTGACCTGTATCAGCTCGACAACGTTGTTTAGGCCTGTATAATTATGGCCGATTTATTATTTTATCTCTTTTCTTTTTTCATTCTTGACTTGGCCATCCCAAAACAACGTAGTTGTTGGTTGCTCCACTCAACGTTGCAGTGTAATAGCCAAACGACATCACTTTGGCCTTCTATGCTGCGTAGTTGCGGCAACAATGTTGTATTAAGCAATAAAACAGTCTTGTGCTTCTACTATTTTTTTTTTTTTTGCACAAAGCTTTTTGGACTTTCTTCTCTTCCGCAATACTGGGGAATTTGGCTTGCAAGCCATTCTGTCAGCAGTGCTACTTTGGGATAAACAATGACGTATTACTTTTCTTCTTCTTAACAATGTTGTTTTCCTTCACGCGAAACAACAACTTTTTTTTTATAAATATATTTCAACGGTGTTGTCTTGGCAGCATTGTTTTTTAAAATAAACATAAACTTATTTTGTTTTCACAGCATTGTGTATCCCCCAACGCTGTTGAGAAAAAAGAAAGCAACACCGTTGGCCATATTGAACCATAGCCAACAATATTGTGGCTTCTTCCTAACAATGTCGCATGATTTTTTTTTATAATAATATATTTTTAATATTATATATGGCCTAAATTAGCCATATTTTATTTATTTTAATAATAACTAAACAAAAGCAGGGTCTACTTGGGCATAAACCATCCCGCCAAAAGTCCACACCCATTGCCAACTCCACGGATCAAACCAAACAAGCCATCCATAGATACACTGATTCACCACAGTTGGCCTTACACATGTCGGTTTTGACCTTTTGGAATCAATGTTGGCTTGCAACTCTCCAGTTCGCCTAGCTCGAACATCCTTGTTTGAAACTCCACGAGCCTGATTTATCCTCATCACAGCCTCGCGAAATGGAGAATCATAAGCGTTCTTGGCTCTAGGCAAGACCTTCACGTTTTTTGACACCTTTGTCTTACCAAGTTGACCATGTGGCATTGCTTGCCCAAACAGGTCTGGTTTTGTCAGCTTCGCACTCTCACCATGTTGCTGTGAGTATGAGCACCGATGCTTACGAGCTTCACCGAAAAGTGTGTGGGTGCTTTGTTTACCACGACACTTACCACACATCCACATCGTTTCTTTTGAGCTCCCGCGTGATTTTGGAGTTTGTAGAGTATTATACTTGCCCCCCAATCCACCATTCATAGCAGACTTGTTCCTCCTCGACACTGGTGTGGCAACTCCATGTCGGGCTTGCTTGAACTTGCCCCCCACTTCACTCGGTGGCTGCTTTGGGGACAACTTACACGAAGGATCTAGGTAAGTTACACCAACTTTCGTGGCCTTGGGGGTTTTCACGTGGTCACCACCTCCATATTGAATAGTGTTTGTGGCAACCCACATATGCTTTTCCCTAGAACAGGGTGGATGTGGCAAACTGCTTCGCCACTTGTGATATTGTTTCTCCTTCAACCCGCCTTGCAGTGGGATCTCATGCCCCCCTAGCGGTTTAGATCGAACATCATCGTGACGTTGGATTGACAACACATCATATGTGAGTTTTCCATGCTCAACGTGCTTGTAGCCACGTTCTCCACCCTGATTCTTATTTTCATTCTTATTATAAGTACGTTGATACTGGCTTCTTTGTGGTGGTTTCTGCAAGCCACCTCCAACTTGCGTGTCCTTAGGAACAATGTTGTTCACGGGAAGAGACACTTTGGATTTGTGCGCTTCTGGCAACACTATTGTAGCCAGATTTGGCGATAGAGTTTAGTTGACAATGGCTAGTCCATCAACCATTAAATCATCGCACACAACAGACATTGTTTCAGATTTAAACACATCAAAATCGTACGTGGCTCTACGTATTGACATATTAAAATCAGAAACACAATTATCCAATTTATCACACCATTGATCAATATTTTTTTCAAGATTATCCATTTTTTTATCAAGAGAAGTTAAGATGAGATTTACCTGTTGGCTATCTCTGTTGAGTTCAGCCACTAGTTGGCGGAGTATGCGCAGCATCTCACCCTGATCGGAGATTTGTACTAGTGATTGCACCTCCGCTTCAGCGTTGTTGCTTGAACCGCCAACAATGTCGTCAATCTCGATGTTGACCATTTGATCCTCCGCCACGGATCCTTGTTGAAGACAATCTTCTTTTCCTCGTCGCAAAGCCCTATCAAACACACGTGTCCCACTGGGCATGCCAAATTGTGTCCCGAGAAAACCAAATGCCACCGCCGGTGCGGAATTCGGTTTCGAGCGATGTTGATTTGATGTTTCGCGACGGAAACTCTTGCGGTGCCGTTTGATCGAATGCACCGCTGATTGCTGAAATCGAGACGACCGTCAAATATCCGTCGCCGAATGTCGGCGCCGTTGATTTGATCGATGCACCTCTAAATGATGAAATCAACGTGACCGTCAAGTATCCACCGTCGGGCGGTGTTGATTTGATCGTGCACCTCTGACTTCTAACCAAGAATGACCGTTACTACGGTTCCACCTCTCCAAACTACGTTCGAACGAGGGTGTTTGAGTTTTGAGGAATCTACGCTACCGCTACTCCTATGGAGATTCCTGTGGAGAGCTCCGCGACTACGACTACTTCTACCAACTATGGAGATCCTTCCTGGAAGGAGAGCTCCGCGAGGGAGTTACAGAGAAAAAGATAAGCTTGACAGAGTTGATCTGTGTTGATTTTTTGGTTTTCCTTTTTTCTCTCTCCTTGCTCCACTGCTTTTATTCGAAAAACTGCTTCGTAGTCTTCACGCTCGGTGGAACCGCTTCCTCAACTGCTCCGTTGTGAAATCCCACGTGTCTCAACCGTTTCGCTCCTCAAACTGCTTCGCGTGAACTTTACGTGAGTTGTTTTCATGATCCCGCGATGTCGTTTCCTTTCCCAAACAGCTCCGCTTGATTCTACCCGCGACATCGTTTTAATATTAAACGACTCTGCTTCCAGCCTTGCGGTGTCGTTTTCTTTCCAACCAGCTCCGTTTGCTTTTTTCTTCCGCGACACTGTTTATTATTAAACACTGTCGTTTGCTAGTATAGCGGTACCGTTGGGCTTCCTCGCGGTACTGTTTTTAATTCTGCGGCACCGATTTAGCTCTCTGCGGTGCCGCTTCTCCCCATCCAACAAGGAATAAAAATAACAATAATTAATTATAAACAAAACTCCTCCTCCAACCCCATTAAACGCGCGGCCCTTTTTTATTTTCGGCAAGCGGTGTCATTTCCAGTGTTGCGGTACCGCTGGGCTTACTCGCGGTACCGTTTTTAGTTCTCCGCGACGCCGCTCGACTTCCAACGACACCGTTTTGTACCCGCGGTATCGAATTAAATGCCGAGACTAATTAATGCGGCATTTAATTTAATCCAAATTAATTTTAGGTGTAAACAAGGAGTTTCATATAGTACTACTGAAGGAGATGAGGAACATATAGGGATTCATTATATATATGCTAATGAAACTTTCCACCCCGAGCAGGACCAGGAAGGTAGGATATGAAAAATATTAGAGCTAGCAGGCTTATCTGATTTGCTTGAATGTTTGTTAAAACAATTTTGTTACACTTGGACTAGGAAAATCTTCATTGACCACTGGCTTTATGCCTTTTCAAATTTGCAGGTGACAAAGTTGTGCGATGTAGGAATTCATGACAGTGTACGTTTACAATTATCAGTGGGCACAGCGTGGCACGAACAATCTCGCTATGGGATGGGAAAGAGTTGCTTATCGCATGACCGTTAGACCGCTGGAAGCATTGATCAGACTGTCTGAGGCCATAGATCGAAGTCATTTGGACACCAAGGTATCTTCTTATATGCAGAAACTTAATTACTGGCATCCAGGGATTCTCGTTTTTCATATTTGACTTACGTTGTTGCCCTTATTGCCTTATTTTTTCAGGTTGTGTTGCAGTCAGATTGCTAAAAACAGATGATGCTCAACCTAGCAATGTTAAAAATGCAGGTACTGGTCGATGGATCTGCTTACTGAGAAGGAAAATCAGAGAAGTTTGTGAAGATAATTGAAAGTTTATTGCGCTGTGTTTTCATTCTGTTGCTTATAGCCAGTGATCCATTGTATTCTACTATAATCAATACCCACGGCTACGCCGCGGGGCCTTAAATTGCAGCAATATCATCTTATAAGTGAGGAGGTTGCCACCACGATTGAGGTAATTTTGGATTATGGTATGTTGATGACTTCTAATGTGAAATATCCATCCCTCAGTTATCTTGTAGGCATAACAGAACTAACTAAATGCACTTCACCACTTCATTTTCGCACTTGTTGATGCTATTGTCCATGTCTATAGCTTCAGTCACCAGTTCTTTGTCTCACCTGCTCAAGGTTTTTGCTTCAGACACAATTCACTCTATCAAAATACTACCAATAGCATGACCCTTTGTGAGTTGTGACTGGTAAAAATCCTTCAAGCCTCTTTATCATCCGATTGAGTTCCTTCCACTTTGCAGCCTTATTCTTGGCCTTCTTTGGAGCTAACTGTAATTGCTTTCCTTCAGAATCTTCTTTGCTTCTTGTTATTCTTGGAGAGTTTGGATAATAAGATGACATCTTGATGGGTCTAGCGAGTTGGGAAAAGATGAAAGACCTACCTTGTCGATTAGATTGGTTTATTTTATACTCGGATTGTTGCTGAGGAAAATAAGGAGAAAAAGAACGAGATCCTTGTAGCAAAAGGCAGAAGAAAGGACCTAGCTGACTTCTGAGTCCTTAATAAGCATGTAAGCTACCTGCTAAATCCCATGGATCACCGAAAACCTGTGGGAGGAACATATTGAGAGTAGGTTGGCGACAACAACCAGTGAACATGTTCCGATCATAAGCATCCAAACAACACTCTGAAAATAAGCAACCAACCATGACGAATCCCCTTACTTAGATGTGTTTCTTCCTTCTTCGTCCCAATACCAATCAACTACCTTCCCTACCTTGCAAAAGCTTTGCTGTATAAACCGAACAATAAAATTAAAATAAGAGTTTGTCAATGGGAAAACAACAGCGAAACAAACCAGGACTCAAAAGAATGGAAGAGAGATTTAAGGATCAGAATTGGGATGTAGCATATAATTGTTGGATAGGAGAAAATGAATTACCTGGTCCTGTCAATTCCCTAAGTTTCTTCTCATCGTGTTCTTCCCTTGGCTGATTGCACACTCTTTGAGGAGATATGTGCAGGTTCATCTATTAAGACAGCAAAACCAAGTTGAATGTAAGCCACCTAAAAGCAGTTAAAATATAATTCTGTAGACAATCACATCTGAACACTTGTCAATTCTGTTCTAAAATGCAGCAACTCTTACTTAACAATGAGTGTATAATTGTTGATTGATTCCATTAAGTAAAGATCACATTCAAAGGTAATGATGAGGCAAGAGAAATTATCATTAGAAACCTGATCTTCAGCCCTCCCCTTTACAAAACTGTAGGGAACTTGTTAGGATACTCTTGTGCATTTCATGTACTCTGGTTAAACCTATTTATAGGTGATAAACAGGATTACTACCTTCACAAAGACTTTTCAGAGACATTTTGGTACAGTATACACCTATAGAAACCTCTGTTTTACCGAAAACCTAGTACTATAGCGGGGGGTGGGGGGGAAGGAAGGCAACTCGGGTAGGTTGGCAGAATGAAGGAAAACTACCAGAAGGTGGCAACGTTTGTAGAGAACTACATCTGAGACCAACGAAAGGGTGAGATACTCCTAGAACTATATATTGACATATGTTAAGTTTACCAAATATGTCAAGGTGCCTCTAGCTAATTTCTTTCTTGCATTGCTTTCATCATGAACGCCAACTTACCAGAATGAACTTTGATATGGTATCACCCTTGTCTTCTTTATTCAAACAGAGTAAACCGCTATAATATGACAACAAAGCTTAATGGTAAAGCACGAAGGCAGAAACATGAACGGAATGAAGAGATGGGTATCTTACATCACAAAAGCAGAATAAATACAACAGTTCATTTGCTGCCGGTTTACTAACCTGAAGTTCTTTCCTTTTGTTTATTTGCATTGTCTTGAGTTTTTAATAAGGTCTGCACTTTCACCAGCCTCACTTGCTGTCGGTTTACTAACCTGCGAGTTCATCAATTTGAGACAGTAAAGAGATGAAAGCAAGGGCCTTCCAAATCATGTAGCTTAGCATACCAAATTTAGGAACATAAACATGATTCAAAGTTACCAGGACTGTATTTCTCATTGACATAGGCCTCCCTTAAATTGAAGAAAAAAACTACCAGGATTATGGTTTCCGACTTCGGTGAGATGCCAAATTCAGAAGTAGCAGCAACCCTCAATTCCAAAGAAAGAAAAAGTGTACCTGTCCGAGAAGAGGATCCCGCGTAGAAGCAGCCAATACAAAGGAGCAAAGTACATTTTCGTAACACCGCACTCTTCAAATATTGATCGAACCCCATGTTCTTCCAACTCATGGTTTGCTCCTGAGAGTCGCAAAACTTTGGAAGGCCATTTTTTTTTGTGAAGCTTCTTAGATCGAAAAGTAACACATGTCATCCAAGTCGTCGCTGTGCGGACTGTTGAGAGAATTGAACCACAATCAGATCCCAAGATTCCTACTTTACCTGGAAACTCAATTACCCAACCAAAATTTAGAAGCCTGAACTATAGCTCGCCAAATTCTAGAGAACGAAGATTCAAACTCGAAAAGAACATAAATTTATGCAGATGGTTGGTTGGTGCTCTCCCTCTTCCTCTCGCTTTCACGGTCGGTGGTTTCTGGCAAATGGAGGGCTGACGTCAAAGAGTTATGCTCTATACTTCTTCTCCATCTGTTGAGCGCACCAACTCCTTCACGACTGCCATCATAAGCATCCCATGAGCAGTTTGCGCCTTCGGCTTCACTGCTGCTTTGAGGATCGGTTCGACAGCGGCGGTTATGTCCAAGTCATAGTGAGAGGAGGCAGGGGAGGAGTAGATTTTCTTTGCTTTTTCCGGTTCGCGGAAGGTCAACAACAATGACAGTGAGTGCTGATCCGTTATGCTACCGTCGACGATGGCTTGAGATCTAGCCGCCGTCACCTTTCTGGTCAACCGGTTCTTAGACGCAGTGGCCGATGATGATTGATGAAGCCGAGAGAGCTGGTGGTAGTAGCTCCGACTTCTAGCAGTCCAGGACGAAAATTGTCTTCGTCGGAGAGAAAGAGTGTTCGAGGGCGGGGTTTTGTCCAGATCTATTGAGTGAGGATTGAGTGTTGGGGAAGAAGAATGGCAGGCAGAGGTTGCTTCCTCGTTGGAGTGTTAAAGAGGGTAGCGTGCTGAAGTCGGTATACTAGCAAGAACCGAGAAGCACACCGAGATGGGGAGATTTGGGGTGTGGGGCAGATTTGGGGAATAGGTGAGAGGACAGTTCCAGAGCCAGAGCAGGTACAATTCGTGGGGTGAAAGGATGGCAGTGGAGGGAGATGGAGTGAGTGTGTTAGCAAAGGCAAAATATGATAGTTTTTCTTCCTTCGCTAGCTGACAAATAATGAAACAGTAGAGACCAATAAAGCGTACCCACGTTTCATATATAAAAGAATACTGTAACTATACTAGTGTGTCGAATGAATTGAACAAGGCCTTTAGATTCCCATTTGGCCATACCGTAGAGTACTAGTGAATCTATTTCTTTACTTTGCCTTGCAATCTAACTCATTTGTGAGTTGTACTGTATGTTATCTGGATGGTATTGTCAGGAAAACGGTATGGAGAAAACGGATTGAAGGCGTGATTGTGATCACTCTGCTTAGAGTGTTTATTTGCCCCCACTACGTTGTTGCTGGTAGGATTTAGGCAAACCACCCCCAGGAGTCCCTCCAATCATAGTCAGAAAGCATCACCTTTCATGACTTCTTTGTTTGTGTTTTTGGAGAAGGAAAAACGAGGAGAAGAAGATGAACGTTGGACGAGAAGTCTGGCTGCAAAAGGCTTTTATAGTGAAAACGACAGTTCCCTTCCGAAGGGTTGCGTCGTTTCACAAAAGTCAAACACCAAATAATTATCCGGATTAATTAATTAGCCAAAAATTCAAATCCGAAAGCGTCGCAGAAAGTGCGATTTAATATGTCAAATTAAATAGCCTACACTTTTTCCAAAAGCCCACAAACCACTTTATCCAATAACTAAAGTGGAAAGCAAACTTAAAAACCACTTGCACTTTCCTTCTCCCACCAATGTGGTATTTCCTTTACTCTTTTGACTACTATAACCGTTATAATTTAACTCATTATCTCATCCCTCATCATTACCATTTGCAATTGCAATGACTATCCCACAGCTGCTGTGATTGGATTGCTGCACGAGAATAAGGCATGTTATAGTATGCCCTTCAAACTAGAAGGCAAACAGTGAGGCATTAGCTAGCCAGATATGTCCTTCCAATAGGTAACAGTTCATGTCCCACAACTTTAACGGAAGACGAGGTTGGGACTAAGGTGATTTTCCTTTTCCTACAAAGACTTCCATTTATATAAGTACACAATAAATGCTTGTAGATTCTTCGTCCTTCTATTTTTTTATTTTTTATTTTTTTTGGTTAAATACACTTGTATATCCAAAACTTTCACGGTTGTGTCAATAATATCCAAATTTCCCGAAATACCACTTATATCCAATTCCTTCACATTCTTTAACGATGTTTTTGGATATACAAGTGTATTTAACCAAAAATATATTGGGAAATGGATAGATTTGGCCAATAACAACTTTAAAACATAGATATAAGTGGTATTCCGGTAAATTTGGATATTATTGGCACAACCGTGAAAGTTTTGGATATACAAGTGTAATAAACAATTTATTTTTTGTTTTTTACAGTCTTCGCTTCATTTGTTTTACCATATGTAATATTCAAGTTGGCGGAAGTTTTGGACTTTTGGCAGTAACTTGGATCAGGCAACGTAATTTGTCAGGTTTATTGACTGTCAAATTGCATCACAATAGTTTACCATAGTTGAGTCGAAATCCGATAATGATCTATCATAATCCAATCATCATGTCTCCACCACTTCTAGAGTGCCATGTTCTCAAACTTGACTAGTTCAACAAAAACAGAAGAAAAAGCCAAACAATCATCCCTACCAATGTACTACTTCAAATGTATGCATCGCCATGCATGACAACCATGTCTTTGCGGATCAGGTTATTCCATAACTCCGATTGTCCATGAACTTGTACAACAATTCTCTCCATCTTAGCATTCTGTGGGCCACCAACCAGTTCCACAACCAACCTCATTCGTTCAACATCGCCACATGGCTGTTTAAACAGAATGAAAATGAGTTAACATAACAAAATCCATATTTTCATTCAATTCTAAACCACATATCATTCAAATCCAGATGCGCAGTTAACAACATCCAGAGATACATAGGACATCCAAGTTAATAATATAACATCCAATCATTCCAGTAAGCTAGACAAGAAGATTACAAGTCCAAAATCATAGTTTATGTCTAGGATTAGTCTTTTGATCTTTGCTTCAACTAAGTAGTTGACACCACATCATGAACAATAAGCATAACAACAGATTTTCACCTTCTTTCGTTGATCAGGCTACATCTCAACACCAACAAAGCATTAATCTTCCCCAAAAATTATGTATCAAGCGGGAGTCTGCCTCCACCCACAAACCGCAGTGTCTACAAAAGTACTGAAAGCTCACTCGAGTGTCAATTTGAAAAGTGGAGAAGAAGAACCCAGACAGCCAAAGGATTAAACTTCACTTTATATAAAAAGGGATTAAACTTCACCCCAGATCAGATCAGCAACAGCCCATTCAATTTTATTAATTAATTAATATATAAAAGCCTAGATTTGAGTTACTAACTTACTATTCATTAGTGGCTCTCGCACTCCTCCAAGTGCAAATGGGGAAGTTCCTAGTCCTTTTTTTACCGCACTCTCCATTCAATAACCTTTGTGTTTAGCTATATTTCCCTAGGTTTTCGTCTATGGTTTTTTGCACAAATCATCGCCTTTGTGTTTTGTTATTGTTCGCTAGGTTTTCATCTATGGTTTTTTGAACAAATCATCGCCTTTGTGTTTAATTATTGTTTGCTAGGGTTGGCCTTGCAAGGCTTCCCTGCACTTGCATTCATATCACCCGGTCCAACTTCCTTCACTTCCTCATTCCTAGGCTTATGATCAATTCCAAGAGTAATTCTCTCCTCACCATCCCTCAAGATCAATGTTTCCTCATTTACATCAATTAATGCCTTGGCGGTGGCTAGGAAAGGGCGTCCTAGTATGAGTTGCATCTCAGAATCCTCATTTATATCCAGGACACAAAATCCGCCAGATAACAGAATTTCCCCACTCGTACTAGCACGTCCTCCACTATATCCCTAGCACTGATGACAGAGCGATCGGCCAATGTGACACTAAGCCTTGTAGTTTTTAGTTCACCTATGCCTAGCCTCTTAAAAGTCTTATATGGCATCACATTTATGCTCTCCCCTAAGTCCGCCAAGGAATTTTCTATGTGATGAGAACCAATGCAAAGAGGTATAGTGAAACTACCTGGATCGGGTTGCTTCTTGGGAAATCTGTTGAGGATGAAGGCTGAGCACTCCTCGTCTAGGGTGACATTGGTGAGTTCTTCGAACTTCATCACCCTCAGGTAGAGGGCCTTCCTTCTCATTCACTTCCCGCTCCTCAAGAAAATTGCATTGCACCCGGCTTGATATTTGGCGTTGGCAGTGGTTTGAGAAGGTAGGGGTCCCTTTGGTCTCTCAGTGAGGATCCCGGCAAGATTGCTAATTTGCACTTCCAAGTTTTAGAGACTCGCTTGATGGTTTCGGAGTCCCGCCTCAACCGAGGTAAACTTGGATGTTGCCACATCCATGAATTTCTCAATCTTCTCGAACTTCTGAGAGCTTGTACTCACAAAGGCGTTCACAAGGTTTTAAAGTTTAGAGAACTTGTCACCTTGTTGTTGTTGTTGAAAACCTTGACCGTCTTGTGCTTGGAATGGTTGTTGGAAGTTCGAGTTTTGGAATTGAGGCCTTTGTTGGATGAATGTTGGACGAGGTTGGTAATTGCTCATTGGACCTTGGAAACAGCGAGGTCTTGGATTGGTAGGGGAAAACCAAGCAAAGTTTGGATGATTGCGCCACCCGGGGTTGTATGTGTGATTCGGACCCAAATGTACACATTTTACCCCTCATTTCTTATTCGTTTAGCTTAGTATTTCATCGTTCCTCGAAATTTTCACGCTAGGTTGTGCTTGTTTTGATACATTTCAGGTCCTAGCACGTGTGGAAGGGTCGAGGATGAGTTTTGGGATGATTGGAAGTCAAAAAGCGCAAAAACCAAAGTTCAGGCGTCCAGGAAACAACCGCAGTTCACGGTATCCTAAGACCGTGAACTTTCACCATAAACCGTGCACATCAAGGCGTCCAGGGCCAAATCTGAAGTTATTGACGCCAGGAGAGTTCACGGTCTCTAAGACCGTGAAATGGGGCCATTGACCGTGAACCCAGGAGAGTAAAGCGGTGTGTTTTGGACGACACTAAGTTCACGGACGAATTTAGGTGTTCACGGCCGTGAACTGGCCAACACGGCCGTGTGCCCTCCTCTCTTGTCTTCTTCCAAGAGTGGTACCCCAAGAGTGGTGTTCACTTGGTCTTTTGTTGTATTTCAGAGGGTTTCTTCAATCCAAAGTGAGTTGTCTTCCTTTGATTTTTCTCTCTAAAACTAGTCTCCAAAAGTGTCTCCTCAAGTCCCTTAGTTGCTACCCCTTTTAAGTTCATTTTCTGCAGATTTTATCCCACAAAACAAGGAACTTGCAAGTCCCATTTCCAAGAGATGGTTGATGCCAGCTAAAGTCTCTCTCCTTGTATTTTTTTTTTTTTTTTGCATTTTTTATATATTGGCGAGCTACCAAATCCATTTGCTCAATTCAAGAAAGCTTATCTGATTCCGATGATTTGTGAGGGCTGCTGAATGTTGAGTGAAGATTCCAACAACAACAATTCAATTTGGGTCTTCATCTGTTTGGCCTCCTATTAGACATTTGACTCTGATCATCTGCACTTTGTCACTGCACCTGCATTCGTCCACTGCACTTTGTTTTGTTGACAATCTTAGCTTCAATCTAAGTTAAACTTCTAAAAGTTTTGGTAATGACACAAGGGTCATTCCATGGTCAATATCAACAAGTTCAAAGCAATTTAAATATAAACATACATAAAGATCAACCATTTTTGCACAGAACACATGATGTTTATGAAGCTTATCAGGAAGCAAGGGGCACAAAAAGAATCTCAAATGTCGGGTATATATAATTATGTAATGAGAGCTAGCCAGGATGATACATGCAATACAAGAACAATGGTTAAGAGTCTATTATTTTGGTTGTTTAATGTCGTTTTAATTATATTTTCATCTTTCATATGTTCTCCATAATTTCTCATTCCATTTGCAATCACCATAACTCTATCAAAGTAATCATTCACAAATTCACCTTCTTTAATTTTTAAAACCTCAAACTTCCTTCTGAGTGCTTGGAGGTGTTATTTATGGACTCTTGAATACTCGTGAAACTTGGTTTCATGGAGATCCACAAATCTTTCGTTGTTGCTTTGTTGGTAATTGTCTTCGGGATGCTCTTATCAATTGACCTGAATAGATAACTCTTTTCCTTTAAGTCCTGCATACGCTTTTCCTCCAAGGTTTTTAGCTGAGTTGCGGACAACTCTTCCCCAACTATAGTTCATTGAAACCATCAGTCACCACTATCCCATATTCCTTGTACCTCAAGACATTTTACATCACCAAACTCCAATGTTCGTAGTCCCCATCAAACTTGGGAACACAAACTTAAGAAAATCCATTGGTCTCACTCACGATTACATTCACTCAACCCAAAAACAACAAATGCCTCATAATAACTCTCATATTTCCCCTCCTATAAAGCATATGTGTTTCACTCGTCTCTGCTTGCTGTTTGGTTTAAGTCTACAAATAAACTCTGATACCACAATATTGAATCAACTATGAGGCAAACTGACAAATCTTATTCCAAAACTCATAAGCAAACTTAAGTACATAGACTCTTTGCCATCAAACTTGAAAACAACCTGAACAACCTCAAACAACTCGGCTCGTCAACAATGGCCTTGACTTCTTCAACCCTGAAACTAGGACACATAGCCAGGGGCGGACCCAGGGGCATTTGGACACCCCTAAATTTTGGAAAAACGATTATCCAACCCCCGGTGCTAATTTACATATGGACAAAAAAAATTATAATTAATAGTCCGGGACATCCTGAAATTTGAAAAAACTATTATCCTACTCTCGTTTGTAGTTTGCGTATGGGAATATAAGTTGTAGTTTGGGTAATTCAACCCGGGACACTACTATTATTAATAAATATAATATCCATTAGGCTACAACTTTTTTTGTTGTTCTATTCTCAACACTGTGTAATAGCAAAACCCTATTCTCTATCTTTAATTATTTTCAAAACCTAACAATTAATCTAATTACAAGCTACCCTTAATTTGAATTGATTTTATGGTTGTACGACAACCGTTATAAGTGTATTTTCAACTTTGAGTTACATCAAGAACAAATTTAAAAGTCGAATATGCGTAAGTTAGTGAATGATTGTCTAGTGGATATACTGAGACAACTTTGTTGAGCAGTTTAGACACCAAGTGTATTTTACAATTTTTTCAGAATATGAAAATACATCATGGACTTTTTTAATTATTATTAACTATTATTTTAATTGTTATTAATTTTCATTTTTATTTTTATTTATTTTTTTGAAGAGGACATCCTTATATAAAATTCATGGGTCTGCCACTGCACATGGCCAACAGTGAACTCGACATGACTCAAATGACACGAAACAAAGAGTTTGTGGACTAAAATGTAATAAACTAAAATACACTTTATTCAAACTTAAATGGATCTCTTTTTTGGTGCCAAAGTCCTTCGTGACCACGGCTCGATCTTCCGCTCCAACAAGTTCATGGCCACGAATTAACAATAACATTTCCAAATTGATATATTTTAATTAGGTCATCGCACCAAACATCAATTGCTAGCTGCTATAGGTATGAGGCGCAATAGTTGTTTGCTTGAGATGGAGAGTCCAAACTGTTTCGTCAAATCTAGGTGTTGAAGTCCAATGGGAATTTTCCAGTCAAAGTGGAAGAGCAGATTGGCTAGGCCCAGTTGAACATTAGCAAGTCCGAATAGCATGCCAGGGCAAATCCTTCTTCCCGCACCAAATGGTATATACTCGAAGTGTGCTCCTTTATAGTCAATAGATGAGTTCAAGAACCTCTCTGGATAAAACTTTTCGGGATCAGTCCAATAACTAGGATCTCTTCCGATTGCCCATACATTAACTAAAACTCTAGTTTTGGCAGGGATCACAAAACCATTTATCTCAACGGTCTCTCTCGTTTCTCTTGGGAGTAGCAAGGAACGCAGGATGTATTCGCATGCTCTCTTTGATCACTGCATCTAAGTAAGTCAACTCATGGAGTCGGTCTTCACTAACATTTCCCTTGTCACCAAAGACTCGCCTCACTTCTTCTTGTGCTAGTCGTAAAACATTTGGATTTTGAACCAACTGAGACATAGTCCACTCAGTTGTGCTCGCTGATGTATCCATACCACCAGTGAAAACATCCTAGAATGATCACAACAATATCAATTAGCAATGGTAACAATGAGAAAATAAGAATGTAGCTAGCTAGGTAACAAGTAAGAATGTATTGTTACTAACAAGAATGACGGCTTTGATGCCGTCAGTTGTTAAGGGAAATGGGAGGTCTTCGGTCCGTTGAATACTAAGTAGAATGTCAACAATGTCCTCTGTTTCTTCATCATCATCATCATTATGATGTTTACATTTTCTATCTGCTTTGGCTCTGTGTTGACGGATGATCTCCTCAAGCACGAAATCCGCTCTCTTATGAAGTTCCATGAGCTTGGCTCGATAGCCAGTAACGACGTGGATGAATTTAAGGGAAGGGAAGAGATCTGACAACCCAAATCCTCCAATGGCATCTAAAATCCGCTCAACCACTGCCATGAAAGTTTCCTTCTCTGTCATCCGCAACTTACCGAAAGCTGACCTGCAAGTAAGTACAGAAAGGAGGGTAGAAAGAAAATCTCAAGTATATATATAATGATGAAATGGGAGGGCGCCGAAGCGTCGAATCAATTTTGAATGTCATGATCTCGTAAATAAAATTAGTACAATTCTTTAAATATAATTAAATTAAAAAAATTCAACCTTTTAATTTAAAATTGTTCTATAATTAAATTAAAAAAATTCAACCTCCGTATTATTTTTATGGGGATGATAACTTAATGGTGAAATAAATTGGGAGAAATTTAAAATTTTAATTTTTTAGAATTAAATTGGGGAAATTGAAGTAGAGCATTAATTGATATAAAAAGTGGAGGTCGGGAATTTGAAAGTGGGCTAGATTGGAGCCATTAATTTGTTATGGTTCTTTCTTTTTATGTTTCCATGTCTAGCTCCTTGATTGGGGTAATTTTCTTTTCTAAAATTTTGTTTAGGTGTGTGAGTAAGATGTTTGAATGGGGCAGTGGGATTCGATCGATCGGCTCGTTGTTGGCATATTTTTTACTGATTCGATTTGAGTTAGTGGCTTGTCCCGGTTTTATTGGTCTGGTCAGCTTGACTCATTGTTGACATTTGGAAGTATGATGTCCTTCTCAGAACTGAAGGAGGGTTGGGGATCAGGGATTTCTAGTTGTGGAACAAAGCCTGTGTTATCAGGCATATTTGGGATGTACTAGCAAGGGGTGGTTCTTTTTGGATTGCCTGGATCCGGAAATATCGACTGAAAAATCGCACAATTTGGGAGATTTCTCCTACATCAGTGGGGTCTTGGGTCTGGAAGTGAGTCTTAAAGGCTGGTGAAGAGGCACATTGTTTCATTACTAGTTCATGTCCTTCTTTGAAATGGGATGGTCGGCCTATGCCCTTATACTCTGTTTCGAAAGTATGGCGTTCGATTAGATATTCTCTACCTTCTGTTCCTTGGGATGATTTGGTATGGGGAAAGTTTATGCCCGGCATACTGTTCTGGTTGATTGTCCCTGATCGAGTTCATACAAGGGAGAAGATAGCAGCATGGGGCATACCGGTGGATACAGCTTGCCTGTTGTGCCCTGGTGGGATTGAAAGCCGAGACCATCTCTTAGTTGTTTGTTCCTATACCCAGTTTGTTTTGCAGCGCTACTTGACTGGTTTTTCTTCTCCCCCTATATGTCAAGACTGGGCAACAATGTTGAGCTGGGCGTTGCAGGTGTAGAAAGGCTCTAGTATGAAGAAGAGGATTGGGAAGTTGCTATGAGTGACTACTATAAGTTTTGTATGGAAAGAACGGTGCAGGCGTTCTTATGGTGAAGGTCCAGTGTTGATGCCAGCTCAACTTATAGCAAGAATCCATTCAGAAGTTCGATGCTTTATAGATAGTACATAGAACCTTTGTGATTTATATGGTTTGTAGAGTCACTACTGCTGTAGTTTTGGTTTTTTTCTTATTTTAATGATCTGGTACACTTTCAGAGGTCCCTTAGTTAAAAGGGTACCTGGGCTTAATGGAATTTTTTATTAATCATAAAAAAAATTATCATGGTAGTTAGATATACAAAATTGAAGTTTAAGAACTAAAAGTAAATAAAATATTAAAATTGAAGGACTAATCAAACAAAAGATAAACCAGGCCAAGAAGCCAAGCCCAAATAACAACCTGAAAACTCAATAGGGCCTAGACCCAGGCCTGACCAAAACCCAACTTCAAATCCTAGCCTCCGATCGTTTTTCCCTGGCTCTTCATTGCTACTGGCAGACACAACAAAGTGACAAACCCTCTTCAATCCTCCCACAAGCAGAATCGACTGGAATGTTGTATTTTATTTAAGGATTATAGGTATAATATACCCCTTTACTGTGTCGTTTTATCAAACATGCCATTCCACTATTTTTTACATCAAACATGACTGTGTACTTTAGTAAAATTATCAAACCTGTCCTTTTGTTAAAATTTTCAGTAAAAAATCGTCAACCATTGGTTGAACCGAGATTTAGACGACCCGACATCGGCAAATAAGAGAGAAAATGTCAGTTTTTTCCCATGATTTATTTCTTTAGGTCTCGTTAAAGTGAAATTGTTAGAGGTATTTGGCTATACAAAAGAACCAAAAAAATTCTAATGTTAAATTATTAGAGATATTTTAGATATTTGTGTCGACCAAACCAAGGTTCGACCGTGTTATGTTTATAGTTTGATGTTAAATATTGTATTTATTTATTTGTAGGTAAATGATACATTTGGTCACTGGGATTACTAAATCGTGTTATGTTTAGTCACTAGAAAAAATTAATATAAATTTTAATCACTCAAATTACTAAAACATGTCACATTTAGTCACTCTCCTATTAGCCTCCGTCCAACTTTGGTCACTCGAATTACTTTTTTTTATGAATGTCACTTGAATTACTGAAGCATGTCACATTTAGTCACTCTTCGTTAGCCACCATCCAACTCTGTTAATGGAGTTTGATAGAAACTAATGGGAGAGTGACTAAATATGACATGTTTCAGTAATTCATGTGACCAAAATTGATATTAATTTTCTCAAGTAACTAAACATGACATGATTTAGTAATCTCAGTGACCAAATATGGCATTTACAATTTATTTTTTGGATTCAAGTAAGATGTTTGAATGTTGATGTTAAATATTGTATTAAATATGAAAATATGTCATTTGGTTTGTAATGTTGTATCTTATTTAAACATGAATATAGATTATATTAAAATTGTATTGAGATATGTTGCATGTGCGTGGTCTTGCTAGTTTCCCACTTTTAATACATATATTTTGTTAAAAATAACGTATACCATTTAAAGGTCGGTAGGACAATATCAACAAATTTTGATAAAAACACATATATAAAACGTGTTAAACATATTTAGTATGTGAGACATCAACCAAACGGAGAAAAAAGAAAAGACTATGAAAACAAAAGTTATAAACGAATTCAGTATGCATATACGAGTATTAAACAGATATGCATATACGAGTATATATTATACAAGTATTAAACAGATTTTCTAATCATAATTTAAAATTAAATAATAATATTAGTAGAATATCAACTAATTTTGATAAAACACATATATAAAACGTGTTATACATGTTTAGTACGTGAGACATCAAGCAAACCAAACCAAACAGGAGAAAAAAGAAAGAAAGGACTAGGAAAACAAAAGTTATAAACGAATTCAGCATGCATATACGAGTATATATTATACGAGTATTAAACGGATTTTCGGTAGCTATGCATCCAAGTACCTGGCTGTAAGTGATGTTGCTGGTCATCGAAAAGAGCATATCGCTGAGGTCGACGCCCTCCTCACCACACGCAGTTGCAGCGACACGAATGCGGGAGACGAGAGTGGACACCTCCTGCTCCCTGATGGAGCGGAAGGAAGAAACACGCCTGGCGCTGAGCAGCTCCACGGTGCAGATCTTACGCATCTGGCGCCAGTAGTCCCCGTAAGGCGCGAAGCCGATGTCCTTGCAGCCGTAGAAGATGATGCTCCCCACCAGGAGACTGGGCCTGGTAGCGAAGACCAAGTCGTGGGTTTTCAGCACCAGTTTCGCGGCTTCTGGGGAGGAGATGATGACGTTGGCCACCTCCCCGAGCTGCAGGCTCATGACGGGCCCGTATCTCTGGGCCAATTCCCTCAGCCGGATGTGGGGAGCGAGACCTCCACTGAACATCAGCTGGTGTACGTTCCCAAAGATGGGCAGCTTCCATGGCCCTGGCGGCGCTGCAGAGGATCTCTTGGCCGACAACACTCGGCAGCCCCAAATGAAGGATGCTAAAAGTAGTACAATTGGGATCAACATCATAATTTTGACGCTACAGATAGCTATATTCCTTCCTGAGGCTCTCTCTCTCTCTATTCTTCTTGGTGTATGTCCAAATGTGAAGGATTACGAACTGGTTGATGTCTTCTTTTTATAGGAAGATTGGAGGAGGGAAGGCAACAGTTGACTTCCGGCCGGCCACCAATGAGGGAAATTGAACCCAATGATTATCACTAAATTTTAGGCTAATGGTGTATTGTAATTAGAAGATTAATTTTGTTGAATTTTTATGATTATTTCCTTGTGTTTTCCTATTATTAAATTTACTTTTGTCTTTAGTGGACTCGCATTTTTATTACATGTTATACACACCGTTTCATAATCGTTATTCTGAGCACACGATTTATGTCAACACGATGTCAATCTTATTTTCTCTATTTTCTTATGACGAGAAAACCTTAGCCATTGATACCACATTGCTGACACCACAGGCCGGCAGGTTAAGTCCCGAGTCGTCAATCATCACGGCCACAAAATTAATAGCTGGTCGGGCGTGTGCTACTCAAGCGAGGCCTAGCAGCGGAGGAGGGGGGTTGAACACATGACCTCCATGTGCAAATCCACTTTCCCACAGGCTAGGTTGTACCTCTTTCAGCTTATTTTCGTAAAAATATAGGGATTTTTTTTTTATTTCGATAATCATGATCAATAAGTAATTAGGGACATTACAGTTTGGTTTAATGGTTGAATAATGAACTCTACTCATAAGAAGTCAAATGTTCTCCCTGGTGATTAGGGGTGGCTACACGATTCGGTCCTATTAAATTGGTCCGGTCCTGCAGGTCCGGTCTTTTTGAAAAAATGAGTATAAAAAGGGATTGGTTCCAGTTCGATTTTGACCCAGTTCAATCCAACGACAACCTAATTAAAAAAACTCAGAATTCCTAGGAGCCTCTATATTGCTCGTTTTAACATTTACTTGATCCTCAGGTTGTGAAGCACCCTTTCTGAACTTTTGAATTAGATATTCAAGTTTTTTGTCACGGAACAAAACGTAAAAAATACATCTTTGCTCTATCAACTACCATTCATCAGGTGAACAAAGCGGCATAAAGGGATACAAAGTTGAGAATACCTTCTCCAGAAACAACCTCGTCTCTACAAGCTTTTGAACAATAGGGTGATTGTCAACTGGCAAAGCCCTTTTTCTTAATTACAAAGGACGTATAATACCCCAGCGATTGATAATAGTTAAGAAGCAACAATTTTTTGCCTCTAGGCAGCTTATCCTATCAGCTGTAGGATAATTATTGGTTTTTACCTGCTCGTTCAGAGGGGTTAACATTTACCTGTTCAACAAAATAATTATCAGGTCACTAGAATTGCGAGAAAGCAGCCACCACCAAATATCCCCTCGTCGTTACCATCGTTTAGCTTTGAGTTCAAAATGAAAACATGATTAGGGTAGGTTTTTAGGGCCTTGTTTATGGTAATCCGATTTTAACACAGTTTTGACACGGGCCGAATTCATCTGGGTTTTTTGCTATTTTCGGGATTAAATATGGAATTAGATTATTTTACAGCCGATCCCGATCTTAAACAATCTGGGTTATACGATCCGGTTTCCGATTAAATATAAAAAACCTAACCGAATATTCAACCGTAATGGTGACGACTCAGATCCAACAACTCCAGCCACAAAAGGACACAGTTGTTGATCAATCGCCAACTTATGTATTATTTTTTTTGATAAGGGCGAAATAGTATTAGGAAGAACAAAACAAGCAAAGTCCAAAAAACAAACAAACGGGGAAGAAACACAGGACAACCAAAGCGAAAAAAGAAACAGAGGAGACCACCAGAAAAGGACAGCTCTGGGGCTCCAAACAAGGGGAAACAGACAGGACGGAGGAAAAGCCAGACAACAGCAGAGGAAAAAATCATCAGCCAGGACAGCCAGAACGAAGCCGCAGCGCCCACCGAACGAGACAGGACGCAAACTAACTCTCAGTGGGGGCCGGCCTGGGGAGAAGCCGGGTCTTGAGAATGAGCATCCACGCCTCAGCAGTGCATCTGTCGACCTTATTCCCAGCGCATAACCAGTCGGCAATGAGGCGAGCAGTCTTGAAGGAGACCATACGGGAGGAGGCGTGTTCGTCACGGAAAATACGGGAGTTGCGCTCCAGCCAAATACGCCAGAAGAAAGCATGGATAAACACTCTGCTGCACCAAGCCTTAGGGCTTTGAGAAGAACCCAAGGGCCATCCGTTGATAGTGGAAGTGGTATCCTGTGAAGGAGATCTGAGATCGATGAAGGCGCTCAACATCCGCCAGACCTCCCGACTAAAAGAGCAAGTGATGAAGAGGTGATCCAAGGTTTCTTCAGAGCATTCGCACAGGGAACACCGACTGGGGAAAGACCAGCCCCTCCTTCTCAGGACGTCGTGGGTGAGAATCCTTCGATAGAACACGGTCCACAGGAAAGCACACACCTTGGGAGGGATGACGGATTGCCAAACGAACCTGAAAGGGAAGTCCGGGTCGGCCGCGCTGTTCTCCTTAACCAACTCAGCATAAGCAGATTGGGTTGAGAAGCCATCATCAGGTGCAGCATTCCAAACAATTCTAGGCGGACCTGCAGTAAAACTAGAGATATTAAGAGAATTAAGCCAGTTAAAAAGATTAGATCTCTCACTCCCCGCCCCTCCTCTAAGGGTAAAACGAGAGGGGATAACCCAAGACAAGCTTCCCTCATTGACTCTAACAAGGTCAGCGATGCTGGCGTTCGGAGCGATGGCGGCGGCAGCAACACGGGGAAAGTCTACAGCGAGAGGATGGGGCCGATCCCTGACCCAGACATCAAACCAGAAGGAGGTGTCGTGCCCAGACCCCGGGTCCACATGGGCAAGACTCCAGAACTTGCTACGCATCTTCGAGATCACAGCCCACAAGCTACACCCCAGCCGGCCCTGAATGTCGCCAGAGGACCAATCCGAATGGGAGTTCGGAAACTTCAACTTGATCAGCTCTCTCCACCACGAGGTCCTTTCAACAGCAAACCTCCAGCACCATTTTAAGAGAAGAGCCTGGTTTCTGACTCTCAGATCAGGAATGCCAAGGCCGCCCAAGCTCCTCGGCAGCTTGCATCTATCCCACGCAACAAGGTGAAGTTTATTGACCTCCCCAGTTCCAGACCAGATGAACTCACGGAGGAGTCTATCAAGTTTATCCAGCACAGCAGCGGGCGCTTTGAAAAGACTGAGCAAATAGTTGACCTGGGCAGCAAGCACGGAAACGCAAAGAGTAACCCTTCCTCCAAAAGAGAGGTACTTCCCCATCCAGCCGGCCAGCCTCCCCTCCACCTTGTCAATGACTTTATTCCAGATGACGTTAGACTTGACAGGAGCCCCAAGCGGAAGACCGAGGTAGATGGTGTGAAGAAACTTCCACTCGCAGCCCAGGATCTCCGCCAGACGATCCATGTTAGCAACATCTCCAACAGGGAAAAGAAAGCTTTTCCGGAAATTAACCTTCAAGCCCGTTATGGTTTGGAACCAAACCAAAGCAGCAGCCAAGTTGTACATAGCTTCCTCCGACGCGTCACAGAAGACGATGGCATCATCGGCGTAAAGGAGGTGATTGACCCCGTCCACTCTATTGGAATCATCCATAAAGAAGCCCTCAAGGAGGCCAGAATCATGGGTACTTTGAAGAATGAACGAGAAGAGGTCCATGACTAGGCTGAAAAGGAAGGGGGAGAGGGAGTCTCCCTGTTTCAGACCTCTCTGCATCTGGAAAAAGCCACCTGCTTCGCCATTCACGAGGATCGACAACTTGGAACAGCAGACAATACCCTTTAACCACTTGCAGAACCGGTGGCAGAGGCCCAAATTCTTCAGAATATTGAAGAGACAGCTCCAGTTGACGGAGTCGAAGGCTTTTTCGATGTCCAATTTGAAGATGACTCCCGGGCGGCCACTCCTCAGCCTGCTATCGACTAGCTCGTTGGCGATAAGGGCAGCTTCGTGAATCTGCCTATGCTTCAGGCCAGCAAACTGGTGTCGAGAGACCAGCCGGTTCATGAAAGGCTGCAACCGCAGAAAGAGAAGTTTGGACAGAATCTTATTTAAGCTGCCAACGAGACTAATGGGGCGGAAATCGCCAACCTCTTCGGGAGCAGTCTTCTTGGGCACGAGGCAAATAAAGGAGTGCGCCACTGAATCCGGAATGAAACCGGTCAGAAAAAACTCATCAGCGGCCCTTAAAATGTCGTGTTTAATCACGTTCCACGCTTTTGGAAAAATCGCAGGGTGAAACCATCGGGCCCGGGGGCTTTGTCTCCCCCACAGGAATTCACGGCTTTCCAAATCTCTGCTTCTTGAAAGGGGAGGGTGAGGAGATGGTTCTCTTCCAGGCTGATGAGATTGTGCTTGAAATCAACAGGGAAAGGTCTAACATGAACCTCCTCGGAAAATCTGGATTGAAAGTGTTGGATGAACACCTGCTTAATCGCTTCGCCATCGGAGATAACTTCGTTGTCCACTTTCAGGAGCTGGATGGTATTCCTCCTACGGTTAAAATTAGCCATACGGTGAAAAAACCCCGAATTCTTGTCCCCAACCTTGATCCAAAGCTCCCTGGATTTTTGGCGCCAGGATATTTCCTCCATAAGCAGGATTTTGTCAAGCTCACACCTCCACAAGCTCCTAGCAATGAACTGAGACTCTAAGATTGGCCCGGCTTCCTCCAACAGGTCAATCTCACTGATTTTCTTGATTAAGTTCTCAATTTTAACCTGTACTCTGCCAAACACGTCCACGTTCCAAGACTTGATGAGCTGCTTACTCTGCTTGAGACGCTGACCAGCGCGAAACAGAAGTCCCGAGCCCGAAACGGGGATATTCCACCAC